TTTTTTTTTTTTTTTAATGAGTTGATGTAGCCCTACCTGGACAATGACGAATTATTACACAGTTCTAAAGTGCAAATACTCTTGTAAAAAATGAGCGTTATTTTAAAAATTATTTAATGTAGGGTTGGTATTGGTTCGGTAATCGAACCGATAAGCCCTTACTGATACCGAACTGATAATTTCGGTACCAGCAAAATGGAAACCGGAACCGAAAACTTGGTTCGGTTTCGGTTTTGTACCGAAAAAACGAACAAAAAAAAAAAAAGCAACAGCCAACAGTAGAAGGAGCCAATAAGGAACAAGTTTCTTGGAATTTCTCATCACTGCTATGAATATATGAGAATGGACAATCATATATACAAATTGATGATTAAGTAGAGAATAGAGATGGTGGTTGTTTCTCATTACTGCTATGAATATATGAGAATGGACAATCATATATACAAATTGATGATTAAGAGCAACTCCAACGGAGCTGCAAAACCAAACGCAACAGCAAAAAATTATTCCAACCGGTGCGCAAGCGGAAACCTAAAATGCATTTTGGGCCCTTTCTCTCTCCTCCCAGACGCAAATATGCGTCTGTACTGTTCATGAACGCAAAAATTTTTGTGAATTGATTTTGGCCCCAAAAAGTGACTTTATTATGATTTTTAATAGAGTAATAGTTGTTAGGTTTTAGTTTATTTATCAAAATTTATATAATTGATATTACATTTATTGTTTTTTAAAATTTAGTTTACATGCCATAATATTTCATAATGATTAGATAGTATGATATTTAAATAATAAATATTATATCTATCATTTAATTTTATATATTTCACAATCATAATGTAAATATGCGTATAATTTATGGTATTTTTAATTAATAATAAAAAAAACACTGCATTAAATAACAAAACATTACGAATACATATTGAAATAACACTAGTACATGATAGATCACGGTTTAAGGAAAAACATTTCAATAGCTAGTACTGAAATAAAAATACAACATCACACGGTACTAAAATAAAAATACATCATAAACCCAACAACTAAAAACAAGCACGAATACTTAGTAATCTGGTAAGTTGCCACTGCCTCCTCCAAGATCATTGAAAAATTGGCCAAATGCATTGGTTGGATATGGATCCGGTTGGGCTTGTTGAGCTCTTTTCTCCAAGATTTGTGCCTTTTCAGCTTCAATGTACGCTCGAACTCTAGGATCTTCAATGGAACTGACATCTTGAAACAGAATTTTATTTTCTTCCCTCATTTCTTTTAAAGTGTGGGATCTATTGCGCATCTCCATTTGGTGTTTTATTTGGTCGTATGCATTTTTCACCTCATCAACAAGCCTTTTGTTTGCTTCCTTCATCGCGTTGATGAGCGATGATGAATCCTCATTTACCTTTCTTTTTAGTTTGACTTTCTTGACCCCGATAGGTCTTTCAGATGGAGAACCAGTAGGAAATTGATCCGAGTCGCTTAAATTTATGGAAAATGAAGAAATACCTGCAGATTCTTGTCGGACAGACTCGGGAGTTGGATTTTCTGACTCCGAAGATGGATAACAACCAGATTGTTTTTTCTTGCTCCTCGAAGCTCCATCTTTAAATTTTTCAAAGTTTTTGATAATATCCCAAACATGATCATATTTCTATCCGGATTTGAATTTGGAATCTTCCTTGAACAAAACTTTTGCATTGACCATCTACAATTTTTCATAAACAATTAATCATAGCTAATATAAATAATAAATTTAATAAATAAAAAATACAATAAGATTTGAGTACTCACTGTATCTTCATTTGATGCACCACTCTGATGCATATCTTCTACTGCTTTTACGCATGCATGGAGCCTCTTGGCTGCCTTTTCAATTGTTTGAATCCGTGTTTGCATAGATCTTTTGCTACGAACCTCCCAATGCTCAAGCCGTCCTTCATTGAAAGCATTTTCTACACGGGACCAAAATCGATCAGATGATTGGTATACCCCAATAATTGGGTCCTGAGAAATATCCATATAAACTTGACATAAAAGAACATCTTCATCATGGTTGTAGGAAGATGAACGGATCGACATTCTTACAAGAAGTTGGTTTTGATAAAGCTTTAGTGTATAGAATATAAATGTTAGGGTGTTGTCACTACAATATCATAGCTTCTTTTATAGTGAAAGACCCTCCCCCCTTTCCATGGTTTAACCCGAAATGACATATCAATGCAATGTCACCCACCTCTCTTAATGCTTTAACCAGAAAAAGACAACTCTCAACAAAGTTGATCACGCTTATCCATGTTCTGACCCAAAAATGACATATCAATGCAATGTCTCCCACCTCTCTTAATGCTTTGACCAGAAAAAGACAACTCTCTGCAAAGTTGATCACACTTATCCATGTTCTGACCCGACAATGACATATCAATGCAATGTCCCCCACCTCTCTTAATGCTTTGACCAGAAAAAGACAACTCTCTGCAAGTTGATCACACTTATCCATGTTCTGACCTAAAAATGACATATCACTGCAATGTCCCCCACCTCTCTCAATGCTTTGACCAGAAAATGACTTCTCTCTGCAAAGTAGATCACGCTTATCCATGTTCTGACCCGAAAATGACATATCAGTGCAATGTACCCACCTCTCTCAATGCTTTGACCAGAAAATGACTTCTCTCTGCAAAGTTGATTACGCTTATCCATGTTCTGACCCGAAAATGACATATCACTGCAATGTCCCCCACCTCTCTCATTGCTTTGACCATAAAATGACTTCTCTCTGCAAAGTTGATCACGCTTATCCATGTTCTGACCCGAAAATGACATATCACTGCAATGTCCCCCACCTCTCTCAATGCTTTGACCAGAAAATGACTTCTCTCTGCAAAGTTGATCACACTTATCCATGTTCTGACCCAAAAATGACATATCACTGCAATGTCCCCCACCTCTCTCAATGCTTTGACCAGAAAATGACTTCTCTCTGCAAAGTTGATCACGCTTATCCATGTTTTGACCCGAAAATGACATATCACTGCAATGTCCCCCACCTCTCTCAATGCTTTGACCCGAAAATGACCTCTCTGCAAAGTTGATCACGCTTATCCATGTTCTGACTCGAAAATGACATATCACTGCAATGTCCCCCACCTCTCTTAATGCTTTCACCAGAAAAAGACAACTCTCTGCAAAGTTGATCACGCTTATCCACACCTTTCAAATTCACTACTATAAGAATATAACATATACTAAATCCTTTACACACTTGAATCTCTTCAAACATCTTATCATATTTCTCTATCCCACATTTCTACAATGAATTTTAATTTTGGCAATTCATCATCTTCTTCATCTGATTCTAAGGATGATCATATGCTAATTATGAATGGTCTTCGTAAAAAACAAGCAGTGATAGCTCAAGCTATCGCTAATAACAACATCATCATTCAACATCTTATCAATCAACAAAACCAAGAAGCCTCCCACGGAAGTTCTATTCCTGGGCATATTTTTATCAATCGTGATCGAGAGGCTGCTGATCGTAGGTTGTACAATGATTATTTCTCAGAAAATCCATTATATAACGAGACCATGTTCCGTAGAAGATACAGAATGTCTCGCTCGTTGTTCCTTCGAATTGTCGACGCAGTCAAAGATCATGATCATTACTTTCCACAGCGAGTGGATCGAGCTGGCAGACTTGGATTATCTCCAATACAAAAAATAACTATTGTCTTTTGTATGCTGGCATACGGCGTTCCAGCAGATGCTACAGAAGAGTATGTTAAAATTGGTGAGTCCACTGCAATTGAAAGTACGAAAAAATTTTGTCGATCGATAGTTGAAGTATTTGGCGAGCGATATCTGCGGAGGCCCACATCTGATGATATTTCCAGACTTCTATACATTGGCCAGCAACACGGTTTTCCAAGAATGTTGGGGAGTTTAGATTGCATGCATTGGAGGTGGAAAAATTGCCCTACAGCGTGGGCTGGCCAATATGCTGGTCGTAGTGGAAAACCTACAATCATTCTTGAAGCTGTAGCAGATTATGATCTATGGATATGGCATGCTTATTTTGGTTTGCCGGGCTCCAACAACGACATCAACATTCTAGAATCATCTCATCTTTTCTCGGATCTAACCCAAGGTATTGCTCCTCCAGCTCATTATGTAATTCGAGGAAAAGAATACAACATGGGTTATTATTTAGCTGATAACATATATCCTAAATGGTCTACCATTGTGCAAACAATTCATGAGCCACGTGGTCCAAAGAAAAAATATTTTGCAATGAAACAAGAAGCACGCAGAAAAGACGTTGAACGTGCATTTGGAGTTCTTCAATCACGTTTTGGCATTGTAGCAGGACCGATACGTTATTGGCGAAAAGAAGTGCTACATGATATCATAACCACATGTATAATTTTTCATAACATGATTGTCGAGGATGAACGTGACCTAAGTGCACCAATAGAAACTGAAATGGAAACGCCGCCGCCGGAGGTCGAAATGTCAGTAGATGAAAGTACTCGATTTCAAGAATTTATATCTCGGTACAAAAAAATTAGAAATAGAAATAAGCATATTGCACTTCGGAATGCACTAATTGATTATTTGTGGGAAGAATTCACCAACTCCGAG